TTGGATATATGATTTCTTGATAAAACTATATTTTTGTGCGCAATTAACTGTGAAATGGCATAACTGATATAAACTATATTATTACGAAATATGTTTTTTTATTATTTAATACTGATTTAAAAAAAAACTGTACATAGGAAGTTGTCTTTTTTGTACAGCAAGTCATAAAATAATCTAGATTAATTTAGTAGCGATTTCAAAATAAACATTAAATAAAAAGAGGTTTCTTTTAATTAATTCTAAGTAATTCATCAATGATTCAGTCAATGAAAGATACTCAATTATTAAATCCTAAATTCTAAAATAAACAATTATTATTCCTTCATTTTTTAAACGTCAGTGTTATTTAAAAAGTCTAGTTCTAACTTTCCATAACGAGAAATCTGATTGGCTGATTGGTTGTATATAAATGTATAAATGAAAGCGAAAGGAAAACATTAAACGTGGCAGGTGCCAAGTTTCGCACGTCGATACTACGATAAAATCCTTTCTACGGACAGACAGATTCCCAAATTGTTTGCGATAATGGATGGACAACACTATGTCATTATAGTTATACATTTCTTAATAGTATATTAGACACGAATCATGTGATTTAAATAAGGGGATCGGAACATTGTTCTAGTTTAAATCTAAAGAAAATTTTATAAGAAAACTAGCTGAACCAGCGAACTTCGTACCGCCATAAATATAGGGGCAGGTGGTAGAAGAGAAAATTTAGGGTTGTATGTATTTTTTAATACCTCATTATAAAAAAAAAAATATTGTCCAAAAAATTTTTTAGGTGTGTGCAACGTAGTGTTCTATCAATTTCCTGGGATAACATTCCTCCTAACCCTTAAGAGAACACTACGTTACAATACCCAATAGTGTGAATTTAGGCGCGAAGGCGCATTATAGGTTTCAAAACACTACGTTACAGGTGGACAACCATTATCACTTAAGGATATGAAAAATAGATAGTAGCCGATTCTCAGACCCACGGAATATGCATATAAAATTGCATAAAAATCGGTCAGGCCGTTTCGGAGGAGTATGGTAACTAACATTGTGACACGAAAATTTTATTTATAAGATATTCCACGTGCTGCAGCCCCCGTAGCATGGACACTACAATTTACATTATATCACGATTTTTATCGCGTCTGTCAAACTTCATAGTAGAGGGGGGGGGGGAGGGCTGACTGCAGACGGGGTTCGAACCTGCACCCAGAGCTAACCGGGCTTCGTTGCACTGACAAAGTTTTAGTTAAAATTTCTTTAGATTTAAATATCTAGCAGTTAATTACTTAATAATATAAAATGTTCTAGTTACACTTATAAACTATTTGTTTGAGTTGGTATCCGTTACTATCCACAGAACACAGAAACAGGTTAGAACACAGGCCTTTTTTTCCTAACTGGCTTCGCACGGCTTGTGCATTAGCCAATGCCAAGTGTTAAAAATGTTTACAAATTCTATAGCACTCGTGGTCAAATTAATAAATCAAGTCAAAGTAAGTGGCAGTCAAGTCAAACCCCCTTTCCCTTTGTTTCAGTAAATGTGTGGGGATTTACTGGAACCTCCCCGTGGACTTCTTGAGGGACCGTCGAAAGACACTTTCCGCTATTTTGTTTCACTTGCCAACACTTGTGCATGTTCCCGAACACTTAGTGGTTAATAATCCACCATTATTAGACACTAACATCCGCCACAACACAATTTTTAACAAGAAAAACAAAACTGCTGAAGTGACGCTTTCCGATCCCGCCAAAACGTCCGGCGCCACAGTTACAGTGTTACCAACCCTTACCAAAATTTTACCCTAAGTATTTTTTAAATTCCCCTAAAATCCCCTAAATATAGAAATTTATATGTACCTACTTATCTTATTACCTAAATTCTTTCGTTGTTCATAAATTAAAATGTTCCATATTTAGTTACAGTAAATTATTTTATTGAATAAATACATTTTCCGAATGGAAAATCAAACGAAAATGAACTGATAGGCTGTTAAATCTTATTTAGCTGGTGGAAGGCAAAGAACTTTAGTCCATACAGCCTTAGGAAACAATCTGCCACACAGTCAGTTCAGTCGTTTCATATCATGGTGCGTTCCATTCTACGCAAAAACTGAAAGAAAAGACACGCTTTGTTTTTCGATTTAATTGCAAGTTTTGTTAAAAGCCCCTAAAAGAACCCCCAAAAAATTTCAGCCCCTAAAAAAGTCCGTTTGAACCCTTCTAGCCCCTAAATCTGGGGTCAAAACCCCTAAGTTGGGAACCGTGCACAGTTATGTGTGAGCTAATAACTTGACCAAAACATGGTTCTGATTGCGTCGTTTCTCTCGGGTGCTCACACCTGATTGGTTGGTATGTTTGATGTCGCGTCGTTTGATTGGCTATTATCTATTAGATGGAAGTGTAGTGGGGGCGAGCCGGCGACATCGGTTCCCATACAAATAGCCTTTAAACACCCTTCTCGGGGGATGATCGCTTCAGATGAAGCTTGTAAGGCCCTTCTGGCCATAAGCATGATTAAAGGGTGTTTTTTAGTCAGTAAGAGTCTGACATAACCTTACAGCCGGCTGTAGGGTATCCATGAGGATTTCTCACCCTCTCCCCCGCCTGGGAGGAAACAAAAAAAAAATCCTCTAACCTCTTTCTGTGTTTGTGGTTACTATACTCTATTCAAAAGAACGAGTCAATGGAGTGCTTTCTTTATCACAATCGCTCACAAACAAAAGACAAGGAAGCTAAAGAAACAATAATTGAAGATTGTATTAATCGTTAATTTCCAGATTGCTTTATTGTCGTTACTACGGGCAGTAACGATAATAAAATAATCTAGCAAAGACGCGGAGCTTTCCTCGTTTCCGTGAACAGTACCCTTAGTATTAGTTTTACAATTACGAAAACTATGAAATGAAATGTCATTTATTCAGTCTAGGCTGTTACAAGCACTTGTGAAGGTCAAGAAGCTAGGCATCGGTTCGCAAAACTACGGCGGGAGACCTTGTACTTAGAAGAACCGGCAAGAAACTCAGCAAGGGCTGCTTTTTTCTCCCTGTATTGATACAGAGTCGTCAAGTTGAAAAATGACTTCAGAGATACATCTGAAGTCACCTTCCATTACATTATTTATGATTATGATAGCTTTCGTGGTACTGATTTTATTGTTTTCGTTTCAATACAAATAAACAGTGTTTAAATTCTATCATTAAATCATTTACGTCTTCTTACATTTTAAGTATATTTGGTTACTTTTCACCAAAATGGAGAAAGAAACATAATTTACAATTACGAAAACTATGATAGTTTTCGTGAGCTCAAATTCGTACTAAGGGTACAGAGTCAACGATATTAAATACCCTAGATACACCAACACGAACAAAATCGTGCCCGATACCTGTCCAAAAGGTACATTGGACGATTCACGGACCTCTGTAAGATAATCGCATAATCTAAACAATATAAGTCATTATTTAAACATTGAAAATCACCTTTAAATTACATTATACTAGCAAACCAGTGAACCAAATGTTCACCAAAACCTGATTTCTCGAAAACCGGAAGTGCTACGTTACTCAAATCCGGTTTGTAGTCTTATCAGACTATTCTTAACTTATAACTTAAATATTCTCTTTATCTATCTCTTACGGTTTGGCCGCTGAAACAGCACCACAGACAGACGGACTTGTCTAATAGATAAGAGATAAGGTTTAATCAAAGCGCATGCGTCAAAGAGTTATGACAGTCCGAGATGTAAGCTCGTAAAATTTTACGACTTATTGCTATATGCGGATGAATATAGACCTTATTTCTTTGAATCTACGCGCAATTCTGAATGCGCTGTTAGCAATACAGCAGATACGGACTGAGAGGAAAGAGACGGCTATATTACCGACCATGCATTTGAATATCACAAATATTTTCTATTAAACCAGTTTATAGTAAGTATTAATACAAAATTTGCTTCAAATGCGATAAATTAACAAACATTGATGAGATATCTGTCGAAAAAACGTCATTTAACATACTATAAGTATTCATTTCGCATTTTTTCACGGAGCTAAGCGGCATGTTGACTTTTCAACGATCCGCATGTGACTGTGAACCAAGAAGTGCTTGAGTCGTGTTCAAGCACTTCTTGATTGGGACACATTTTAAGCGCACGTGGTGTATCTAGGGTATTTAATATCGTTGTACAGAGTATAGATTGAGAATGGCTTTAAGAGCGGACGCAAGCTGAGAGAAATTACTGGCGAATGAATGGCGCGAGTGCACTTGGTCGTTAGCGCGGATACGAGTGCCAGTGGAATTCTTGTAAACGATTAAGGGTGAAGCCAAACGAGCGTAATTTTGTGAGTTGTGAGTCGCTTATTTTCGGTCACTTATTTTACGTTCAACTGAATTTCTGTTGAGCTGCCATACGAACGTAATTTATTCAGTTACTATTGAGCGTTAGTACGGGGTGTTCGTGTCGTCGAGTGCAATGGATCCATTAAAAATATTGTGTATTTACGAAGCATATTCAGAAGATGAGGCCAGGAAAAGAAACTGGGTAAACCCACTGAATAGTCAGAGGCTGATATGTGGACAGTTCCATACTTTATATGAACGTTTATGTGCAAATCCAGATACGTTTAAAAAGTACTATCATATGCCATTACGTGTTTTTCAAGAATTATTACACCACGGAACTTGTAACAAACTGTTGCTTCCCCACTCCCTTCCTTGCCCTACCCTCACCCCGACCGAAATTCGGACGAGCTTACGCGCATTGAGTCGGCAGACAACTCATTTTGCGTTGCCGTGTGGCACCAACTGCCTTTTTGTTATGAAACCGAATGCAGCAGAATTTCTGCGACCGAAATTCTGCGACTCACCACTCACAAAATTACGCTCGTTTGGCCTCACCCTAAATGTAAATGAACGGAGTCTAGTAAGCCCATATTCGGGTAGATTTGGTTTTCCATGACTGTTTCGAATAAATGTTTTTTCATTTCATTTGGATGTGGCTAATGTTTGTCTGTCGCGCGGAAGTACAGCAGTAAATCGGCGTCAGCGCGTTCCACCCACGCCGCGTTCAGCGCTATTGTGTCTAACGCTGCTTGGGCACCGCGTAATTCGCCGAATAACTCTTTGAACTGAAAACGATAAATAAGATTAATTATAATTGTTCCTAATATAGGAGCTCGATGGCGCAAGTGTTTAGCGCGTTCGGCTGCGATCGCTGAAGTTAAGCAACTTTCGCAGTGGTCGGTCATTGGATGGGTGACCGAAAATTCACTATCTCGAACTCCTCCGTGCTTCGGAAGGCACGTTAAGCCGTTGGTCCCGGCTGCATCTGCAGTCGTTAGCACCCGCCAATCCGCACTGGGCCCGCGTGGTGGGTCATGGCCCAATCTCCCTATTCCGTCCATAGGGAAGGCCTGTGCCCCAGCAGTGGGGACGTTAATAGGCTGATGATGATGATGATGATGATTCCTATTTAAAACTTTACGGCTCTAGAGTTAGATCATTTCGCCAAGTTAATCTATGGTTAAATTTCTTTATTCAAAAGTTGGCTCTAACTATCACAAAAAACGGCTTATATCCTGTGGGTAGCGCGCCCCGATCGGGGCGTGCGGTCTTATATTACTAACGATAAATAAGATTAATTATAATTATTCCTACTTAAAATTACTTTGTCGTTGTCATGCTAAGATCTTGAATGAAATGAATGAATATGAAATTAATTATTGTAAGGTTTATCTCATCTTGGTATATCAACTTTTTTTGTTATTTCTCAAAATATAGTAGATGGCAAAATAATTGAATGTAAAATAGTAAGTATGAGGTTAAAATATTTACTTTAATTTTGAAATTAATATATTTTGGCTGCTCTGTCTTAATAATTAAAATTTTATTTTTAAGAAAGTTTAAAAATAAATTAATAAAGTTGTAATTTGATCCTCTAATATAGTAGAATACTATATTACATAAGTAGGGTTGGTAATCCTAGCTCAGCCCCCCCTAGCATGAGCATCGCGATATGATATATGGCTAAAGCTCAGAAACTTTGTACCATAACACACGTGAATTCGTTACACATAGTAACAATCTGGAAAAACGTAACACATTGGAAATATTGTTAAGCCTGGTTTACAAAACATACAAACAAATAAACAAGAAAAAAAGAAGATACAAACAAGAAAAAAAATTTCCAAAAAACATAAACCTCAATAATCAGTGATAACAAAAGGATAGAAAAAATTGTATTATGTTGTGTTATAGTATAGTAGTACAGTGTCAGCATTGACCCTAAAGTATTGTATGGTACTATATTGTGCTATAGTATAGCAGTGTAGTATAGTGTCAGCATTGACCCTATAGTATTGTATCGTACTATATTGTGTTATAGTATAGCAGTGTAGTATAGTGTCAGAATTGACCTTATAGTATTGTATCGTATTGTGTTGTGTTATATATAGCAGCGTAGTGTCAGCACTAACCCTATAGTATTGTATCGTATCGCGTGGTGTTGTAGTAAAGCAGTGTAGTGTTTCGAGCACTGACCCTGTGGTAGTCGTGAGGTAGATGCATGCAGCGCGCGGCGGCGTGCAGCGCGGCGGGCGGCAGGGGGAGGGGAGGGGGGGCGCGCGAGATGCCCACCACGCGCCATATTGCACCCGCGCCGCGCCAACTAAACAAATACACCTAACTGACGAGCTGGCGAGCAAAACTGCGCCTTCGGCTGCGATCGTTGAAGTTAAGCAACTTTCGCAGTGGTCGGTCATTGGATGGGTGACCAAAAAATTTACTATCTCAAGCTCCTTCGTGCTTCGGGAGGCACGTCAAGCCGTTGGTCCCGGCTGCATTTGCAGTCGTTAGCACCCACCAATCCGCACTGGGCCCGCGTGGTGGCCCAATCTCCCTATTCCATCCATAGGGAAGGCCTGTGCCCCAGCAGTGGGGACATTAACAGGCTGATGATGATGATGATGATGATGAGCAAAACTGTATAATATATATTTTTTTAAACTCATTTATTTATTACATTTTAAGGTGCTGAATATAACATAATTGTGATGTATAAGGGATTCCATATTTGGTAGAGTAGCCCCATCAGAATCCGAGGCCGCGTCGAAATGCAGCCAGGGAGGTCGAATGGATGGGAAAGACAGGGAGAGGAGAGGACGGTTTAATAATTGTGAGAGGCAAGAGGCAAATGAAGAGGAGAGGAAAGGAAACGAAACAGAAAATAAATAAAAGGTTTAAAGGAGGGGAGTAAGAGTGTAAGGGAATAGGTTTAAAACTATAGTTTCTAAAAATATTAAAAATAATAAAACTAGTTTTTACGGGTTAATGCACGAAACTTTATTTATTTATTGACGTTTCGCAGCCTTTTCAGGTCTGCATCGTCAGAATAATGATTTTATTAAAATCATAATTTTAATAAAAGAATAATGATTTTAATAAAAGAATAATGATTTTAATAAAATCATTATTCTGACGATGCAGACCTGAAAAGGCTGCGAAACGTCAATAAATAAATAAAGTTTCGTGCATTAACCCGTAAAAACTAGTTTTATTTAATGAGTGATGTGCGTGAAAACCTAAGAAACAAATATATTAAAAATAAATTGTGTGTGTCAGCTCCGACGCACGACTGGAGTTTACTCCTTAAGTTCGATAGTCTAACCGGACGCAAAAGAAGCATGGTGGGCGATAACAGAGTCATGTTGTTAAGTTAAATATTTGTAAGGACAAATCTCAGTTTGTCCCTTGTGGGCGATTATGTATACGCCATTTGTGCATTTAAATTTTTAGTTCATATGTATCAAAATAGATGGCGCTGTAGTTCGTTGCATCACGCTTGTTAATATGTTTGGAGCTACATATCGGCAAAACGTCACCTAACTACTAAAGAAATGTATGGTCTAACAAAATACACTGTAGTTTCAATTTAATTCTTTTGCAGTTAAGCTCTCGGATTTAAGAGTCATTTTGGCTCGAACAGGATGCGCACCAAAAACGTAACGAGGGCATTCATCGATAGATTTTACTCCTCACATTTTTCTCATACCGGGCCCCTTATATATGCAAATCGATTCTTAAGGAGTAAACTCCAAAAACCGGGATAATATAAACGGCATTTTCAAATACTGTAAAACCTTACCAATACATATGCAGGTTCAATATGCTTTACTCAAAGAGCAGTATTTTAACAATTCTTTAAAAATACCAATTGAACATCCTGTAAACAATGCATACGGTGAGTGGACAACTACCCACCTTTTGCCCCGACTTATTAATAAATTGCCGCCAGAATTACAAGACAGCATCACACATATGAATGTTAGTTATAAGTTGAAAGATTACTTTCTTAATTTGCTGTAACTCAGTTGTTTTTGAGCATTATACATAATACTATGTTTTAAGTTATGCAATAAAAATGCAAACTCCAATAGCGCAGTATAAACCTTAATGGTTTTAGATGTTACCGCATGCCATTGTTTAATGTTATTTTGAATATGGTAATAAATAGGATATTTGACAAGTTTTAGAAAACGATCTCATGTTATAGACTAATACGACTGTTGTGTATTTCAGTAAAAATAACCATGTCAAAAACTCCATTTTCAAGTTGCCGCGAAAACGTTTCTCTGGGCAATAAGGCGTCTTACTAGTGTGTGACGTCACACGACTGTTATTAAATCGAACGATACAATGAAATGTCACTTTAACTGGAAAGGACATTGCTCGTTCCCCATACATTGAATGCCCTAGAATGCCCAGCAATGAGAAAATGCTAGTTGTGTTCGGAATCATTCATAAACTCTAAATCAGCATTTGTTGAGATACGGACAACTTGAGGAACCGTGGCCTACTACAGAATGTATTAGATTTTGAGGTTATAATTATTATACTTAATCATAAAAGATGTACACTTTATATGTTCTGAATAGATTTAGTGTTTACCTCTATGTAAGCACTTAAATAATATGCATTAAATGAATAATAAAAATAATAAATGCTTATATTCATATTGATTTATGAGTGTTGTCAGTTGGCACCTATGATACATATACCTACCTGTAGTAAGTAATGATAGATTTCTTTTGAAATGAAATGTTCAGTCTTTCCATTTACCTGTTCCTATAGTTTACTATCGGTAATTAGGTATGTACCTGGTTATCATTATGATTGTCATAAAAATAAACAGATATTACATGGGATGGGAGTATAAACTATCTTTAGATAATTTCAGAAATAATCTTTTCATAAATATAATATAAATACTAGTAATAAGTATTATTAACTAAGGTACCTAGTTCTATTTTTATGTTGATAAATACCTATGGTCGCCAATATTGCATTACTAAGGTAAACAATCTTGGCACAACTTTTTAACAGAATCACCCATTTAATAATAAAATATTAACGAAGCCAATAAACTATTAAAATAAATCGTTATTATAGACTGAAACCTATTGAATCCAGTTATCAGTTGATTTTTAATGCTGTATTTTCAATAAAAAGGAGTGCCAAGTTGGATGAACAGACTGTAGTATCTAGTAACAGAACTTTTATTTTTTAAACAGATTGTCCGTTTACTATGGTTAATTGCTAATAAGTTAAAAAAATAATAGAAAAATAATAGTGAAGGTCATTCTTTTGGGCATGCTAGGGCCGATTTCGTCGATGTCCTTTACTTGCGTATGACGTCATTTTAGGCTCCGCCAATCCCAAGCGTTTTTGGTCACATGACAATAGATAAGAAAACTATTATCTTTTCGTGGGTTTTTAATAAAATTACGAATACTTTTTTTGTAAAAATAGTGAAAACCCCTACCCATATTCATTCTAAACACAGATGCTAACAATTGGCACTTCATTTTTAAATCTGTCAAATACCCTATTACGCATCTGGTCAAATTACCTTTTTTTTACAGTCCGGAGGTTTAGGGCCCTTTGAATTTGAATCTCAAATAATTTTCAATCAAAACCGACTAAAAAAGTGTTAAAATTACTAAATTTATAAATTAAAAACTATGCCAAAAGCTCAGTGGAGGTATGTTATTGGTGTCGATTCTGGCGTGATTCTCTAAACTTAAAACTAAATTTAACATCAGTCTCACCTTTTCATTCTGTATCGAGAAGGACAAGGATGCACTGTTGTCAAATTTAAGTTTAGCTTTAGAGAATCATGCCAGAGTCGACATCATTTAGTTTTTTACAGCTCCTGTAAAATTTAATTTTATGTAATATACCGTTTTGTTCATTGAATTATATATAAATGATTTATACGTTTTTTTATTTATTATTAGTGTAAGCACTTACCGACAGGTGGCGCTGCACAGCGTAGTGACCCACAGTCGCCAATCAGGCCCTCTCTGAGCTTCCGGCGAGAGAACCGTGTACGCGAATCTGAAACAAATATATATGTAACAATATTAGTCATCAGCTCCAAGGAGCTCCATGGCGCGGGCTGCGATCGTTGAAGTTAAGCAATTTTCGCAGTGGTCGGTCATTGGATGGGTGACCATAAATCTTCTCGAGTTCCTCCGTGCTTCGGAAGGCACGTTAAGCTGTTGGTCCCAGCTGCATCTGCAGTCCTTAGCACCCGCCAATCCGCACTTGGCCCGCGTGGTGGGTCATGGCCCTATCTCCCTATTCCAGCCATAGGGAAGGCCTGTGCCCCAGCAGTGGGGACATCAATAGGCTGATGATGATGATAACCATCATCGGCCTACTTATGTACCCACTGCTGGGGCACAGGCCACCCCAATGCTGGTCTGGACAGAACGAATTGTGATAACCGCTTTTTTTTAAGTGTAGGAGTATATGCTGTTGATCTCATATGACCTTTACAGCGTCACCGGGTTTGGGGACGGCGAGATCCTAAGGGGACCTCAAGCTGAGCATTAGCGAATGTCTCTGAGGTATTCCAGGCGGATGGCGTCTCCCCAAGGGGGGAGTTTCCTCTCCGTCTGGAGCCTCTAGACCACTCGAACCCGAGGAGATCGGCTCAACTAGAGGGCGTCTCTGAGGCTCGGACCTCGGCTCTAGTTAGCCGCTGTCGTGAAGCCGGGACCATCGGTAAAACGTGCCTTCCGAAGCACGGAGGAGCTAGAGAATAAGGTTTTGGTCATCCAATCCATTAACTTCATTGTTTCTACCTTCGGAGCGGAAAACTCAACTGCCTCAGTACAGGGTCCAAACGAGAAGGGGGAGGGAGGCATTATGGGGCAATGCCGTACCTAAAAATTACATTGCCCTACCTAAAAACGGGGCGGCAGGCTTCAAACTTGACGACCTCAGTGGCCGAGTGGTTTGTATACTGGGTTTCATGGTGTCGCCGACTCGAGAGGTCCCGGGTTCGAATCCCGGTGGGGGCAAATGTTTGTGTGATGAATACGAGCATTTGTACTCCAGTCATGTATGTAAAATATTCATTTCTATATAAATATACTTATATATGTACAGTTATGTATTCTATCTGTTACCCTAGTATCCCATAACACAAGCCTTACAGTGCTTACTTTGGGTTACGATACTAGGTGTGTGTGTTTTTTTTTTTAAATAAAGCATACTTTACTAGACTTCTTGGGACAGTATTTACGTACAAATAAGTACCGTCCCAAGAAGTCCATAGTAACATATTTTATAGTTTAGGAGCCGTTTCTACAACATTTTTTACATAACAGCTGTTCTACACATGTCTGTACAAACTTGAGGTTTCCAAGGGCGAATACCGAGCATATGAGTTTGTTCTCTTACTTTAAAAGGATCTGTACCCTTAGTACGAGTTTGAGCTCACGAAAACTATCATAGTTTTTGTAAATGTAAATTATGTTTCTATGTCCATTTTGGTGAAAAATAACCATACTTAAAATTTAAGAAGACGCAAATGATTTGATGATAGAATTTAAACACTGTTTATTTGTATTGAAACGCAGACAACAAAATCAGTACCCTTAGTACGAGTGCGAGCTCACGCAAAACTATCATAGTTTTCGCCCAATCAGACCTAACCTAACCTAACTGGTTTGAATTGACAGCTATGACGTCACAATATGGCGCCCAATCAGACCTAACCTAACCTAACTGGTTTGAATTGACAGCTATGACGTCACAATATGGCGCCCAGTCAGACCTATTCTTAGTTGAATCGCATTGTACTTACCGGTAGAACAGCCAGTCGTCGCTCGACGCGGCCAATGCGGCTAACATGGCGCGTGGTAGAGGCGCAGGCGTGTTAGCGCGAGGGGCGCGGGTGGTGTCACACAGGGCGCGCCATATGACACGCCACGCGGGCACGCCGTGGGTACGGACACCCGCGGTGAAGGCGCCCTAAAACGTTATGGTTTAAGACATTTATTTCTCAAAACAGAACACAAAATTCACTTACATGAGAAAACAGAAGAATAATTAATCCAGTACGTGTGTTACACGAGACGTACGAAATAAACAAACATTTAGTTGGACATACAAACATATCACAAATCTATATTGTTTTTCTTTTTTACTAAAACTGTTGGTAATTTACAAATTGATGACTTGGTTCAAACAATGCATATAAATATTTGTTACGCAAACATCTGTAAAATGTGGGTAGTCCGTTTTCTTTAAGACAAATCAAGTCCATATTACGTATCGAAATCCGTTTGCTATCAATAGCCGATACTAATGAGGGCTATCGCGTATGAATCCGCCGCTAGAGGCGCCAGTGTAGCGTGAGGTCTCCGAAATGTCAAATGTTATTGCTTGTTGGTTGACTACGCGGGTTTATTTCTTATTAAAATAATGTTGTGAATAATTGGTAACAATTCGGCTTAATTATGGCAAATATGAGTTATGTGGCAATGAATGTCAGTTATTAAAAATTTGAGCTTAGAAAAATGATTATGTTCCCATTTTTTCCGAATAAAACGGAACTGGGCGTCACTGTGGCATGGCCTATTATGTTTAGGATATGGTTCTTTTGTGTTAAAATACGATCTAAATGTAACCTTTGATTTCATGTGCGTATTAATAAACTTTAAAAGTTACAATTTAGGACCTCACTCAACAGTGGCGCCATCTGGTGAGACAGAAAACGGTAGCCCTCATTGCCTTCAGAATGATGTTAAGTTTTTATATGACGGCTGAGCAGTGGAGAGAAAGGACGCCATATTTTATGAAAGTACATACATACATCTTATGCACTATTCAATTAAATATGTTTTTAAATTATTTTTAACATTATCATCACTAGCCTATTAATATCCCCACTGCTGGGGCACAGGGCTTCCTTAAGGATGGAATAGGGAGATTGGGCAACCCACCACGCGGGCCCAGCACGGATTAGAGGGTGCTAGCGACTGCAAATGCAGCCGAGACCAACGGCTTAAATAACCTTCCCAAGCATGAAGTAGTTAGAGATAGTAAATTTTTGGTCACCCATCCAATGACCGACCACTGCGAAAGTTGCTTAACTTCAACGATCGCAGCCGAAAGCTCTAATGACTTGCGCCATCGAGCTCCACATCCAACAATTGATTTTAACTGTTAATTCTACCTATGCTGTGAACTTCTGTGTACATTGTTTGGATAGCAGTTTAGATTCTATGCTTTATGTTTTACCGAACGTCATTACTGCACTCTGCTTGTGTAACTATTAAATAAATAGAAGCCCGAGAATCCTAGGCTATCGTCTATAGCTAGCTATTATCCATATCTATTGGCTATTATCTATTAGGTGGAAGTGTAGGGGGGGCGAGCGAGGTCTTTGATCACCGCTCTTGCTTCTTTATTTGTTCTGTGGGTATGCTCTAACAAACTAAAGTCCACTCACGAAAGGGGGTACGGAGAGCAAAAGGGATGACAACAGCGTCATTAGCAACAATAATGTCAAGTAAAGAAACTAAAAACACGTAATTGTGCTAAGCCAGTCGGCAGCTTTCATTTCATGCAATGGCCCCACGTTGGGTGCCAAGAAATACAAATTGGCGCCCAACATGAGGCTTTTAAGCAAATTAGTTAGACATAACCAAAAAGACTGAATGGTTTAATATGGAGAAAGTGAATAAAGTTACCGTCCGATAATTCAATTGTAATCTTAATCCATCTTATTCTAAATTAGATAGTTTTTTTAATACCGTAGAGTAAAGGACAGTAAAAAACATATCATAAAGAAATCTTTCTATCTTCAATCTATTAAAAAACATCGTATTTTCAACTCTAAAATGTCGATCACACTATCCTTATACTGCTGTTGATACTGGTATGGTTCTCTAAACCAAAACTTAAATTTGACAACAGCGGGTCCTTGTCATTCTCTGTACAGACTGGAAAGGAGAGACTGGTGTTTAATTTAGCTTTAAGTTCAGAGAATCATGCCAAATTAGACGCCACCATCCTCTACCCCGAGCTCTAGAACTAGAACAATAGGGTATTTGATAAGTTTTAGAAAACTATCTCACGTTATTGACTAATGTTTATGGAGTCCGTAAATAGTGGATATTCATCAATCTGTGGTGTATTTCAGTAAAAGTAACCAACTCAAAAACTCCATTTTCAAGTTGCCGCGAAAACGTTTCGCTGGGCAATATGGCGTCTTACTAGTGTGTGACGTCACACGACTGTTATTAAAACGTTAAACGATACAATGTAATGGTGCCAATTCTGGCGTGATTCTCTAAACTTAAATCTAAATTTAACATCAGTCTCTCCTTTTCATTCTGTATAGAGAATAACAAGGACAACAAATTTAAGTTTAGGTTTAGAGAATCATGTCAGAATTGATACCATTGTCATTTTAACCGGAAGTTTACTTGTGTGTGACGTCATTTTAGACTCCGCCACTCCCAAGCGTTTTGGGTCACGTGACAATAGATAGAAAGCTATTATCTTTTTCGTGGGTTATTAGTAAAATTATGAATATATTTTTTTTGTAAAAATATTAAAAACCCCTGCCAATATTCTTTCTAATGACTGCTAACAATTGGCACTTTATTTTTAATACTGTCAAATACCCTATTATTATATTAAAGTAGACCCGGCACTTTTCATAGAAAAAATGCTAAACTTGTATAAAGTTGAATTTGGTCTTAAAATAAAGCCATAATTATTTGCTACATTAAATTACTTTTGCTTTATTTTTAGTGAATCGTGGAAAGAAGTTATTTAATGATTAATATTTTTTGATATAGTAACCCTTTTGATGACAAACCTATGTATTTGACATTGACAGCTAGCTGCTGATGACAAATATTGCCAGACTACGTTACCCAATTATGAAACATAGATAAAAAAATTAAAAAAGTATACAACTTTGGCACAAAATGCCGGGTGTCCTTTAAGACTATTTTATCCGTTTACCTCTTGGTATATCTCTGGTATACTCTCATTCTTCTTCCACCAGGCGTCGAACATCTGTAGCGCTTGTTTCGTCACCTCTGGATTCTCCCATTCAACGCCAGCAGTCAGCAATGCGCCGCTTAACCACCTGGCAATAAAGGATATAATTGTTTTTATTTTGTGTGTGTATGCTGTTGGTCGCAGATGACGCAGCTTTTTTTATAATTTATTCATGACCATGGATACAAGTCTTTCAGTCGTATACATAAATACAATTCATAATCTTCTTTTTTTTTTTAAAATTAGAATGTCTGTGTGACGCATTCTATTGTTTCTTGGAGTGTTTGGCACGAAATGTATCGAGTTGGTTTTTTCGATAAGCTTCTGTGAGGTAGTTAGTCAACACTACAATAAAGTTCTCACGTCCACTTGACCGGAATAGCGCATATTTTAAAGATTCCACTAATTCTTCAGTTGCGCAGATGGTTGAAACACAAAATCACACCAATTTTATTTCACTATATCCACTATGAACGAATTTAAGAATAATTAAAATAAGACGCCAACCGCATTCGATGAAATCCCGCCAAAAACTCCGATGACGCAGTTTTGGGTTTTCTAGGGTTGCCAGATTCTGGCTTATCAATTCCGGGACATTCCCCCAAGAAATAAAAAATATTAATAATATTAGTAAAATTGTCTAGTCTAGACGTTCAACTTTGATCCAAATATGATTTGACCGATATCCGTTGCTTGTTTTGTAATAGAAAAAAAATCTTTAGCTTTATAAACTCACGGTTGTTCACTGGAGTGTTGCGTAACCTTCGGATGCAGGTTCCTCAGTAACTCCCTCAGTTTTGGCCCCGAAGCACGCAGTCGTAACAGTTCGCGCCACCATGAAGCCTGACCCACTACAACCCGCCAAGGGGCCCAGTGACGTTCGTTGCCTAACTCTCCTGTGTACACAAATATAATGAACATTTTTGAAAACTACATATTTGTTTTTATTTATTTTTTAAGCATTTAACTGCTAGATGTTTAAATCTAAAGAAAAGTTTTTAATAGAAAAAAATCCACGCGGAACAGGCAGCAGACGGGACTCGAATCCGCACCCTTCGCAATCCGGGCGAATGCACTGACCAATTATGCTCCTCCATTTTCCTAGCCTTAAGCTGCAAGGCAGCGCCATCTCTTCGCATTGTAGGTTACCCACAATGTCAAATGAATACTTTTTCAAGTATTAAACATTTGAAAGAAGAAATAGCATTTATTTAACTACATATTTGTGCCGTTTGGTGTTGAGACTATGGGCCCATGGGGTCCAAGCGCTCGTTCCTTTTTTAAGGAACTGTCAAAGAGGCTCATTGAGGCGACTGGTGATCAAAAGGCTGGCAGCTATCTTGGTCAACTGATCAGCCTTGTCATCCAACGTGGCAATACTGCCAGCCTATAGGGCACCATTCCTGACGGCGGCGCTGGGGGTGACATATTTTTTATTTTGTATTTTATATATTATTTAAGTATAATTAAGTAGGTTAAAGTTATTTGGAATGTAAATTTTAGTAATCATGTAGTTTTTAAGTATTTGTTGTTTAAATGTAAATATGTGTAAATATACATAATTATTAAAACATTTTTGATATGAAATAAATTCGCTACCGCTGTCTGTACGATTATATCAACGACGTATAATATACAGACAGGTTATACGCCAACATTCTTGCATTTTAAATGGCGCTAGTAGCCCCCGCCCCAACTTCCCTTGGCAACAGACGTCAATAGAGTACGCTAAAGTAGTTTCTTTCTCTCTCATTCATAAAACAGATGACATATCACAATTTAGGGTGTATTCCGAAATATACATCAGTATACTGGCCAGTGGTAATGACGTCACGAATCCGACGCCATATTGTACTGGTATGCTACCATATTTTTACCGGGAAAACGAATATGACGTATGACCGAGCGTGCGTGAGATGCATTAGAATTTTATTTCTTTTTTATTTAAAGAACAATAATGGCATCCGAACAAAAAGAATTCCTTTAAATTGATGAGGTGAATAAAAAAACTTTATTCGCACAATTTTTAATATTTCGTCGATTTATGACGTCAGTTCACTGGCCAGTATATTTCGAAACAATTCACCAGTATAGCGTCGATTTATGACGTCATTAGCACTGGCCAATATACCGGTATATGTTCGGAATACACCCTTAGTCTCTAGGTGTCAACAGTGTCAGCAACAGTAAAAATAAGTAATCTTTACTTTAATTGCTTTAAAACTCACTTACGAATGAAATGACAGGCCTTTGTTGTCTCCCGTGTATTTTGTGTACTACTAGTTCTAGTGTTTATAATTTGTATACTAACTAAAAAAATGGGTGCGTGTACTTATGTAGGCGCGTGAGAAGTTATCCTTCTTTGGCATCGTTTAAAATTAGTTTTTAATTGTATGCAAATAATTAATTACAATAAATTAATAAAAAGTCTGGAAAAGGACGAAGTCAATAAAGTTCAGTTTTAATTTGAAAAAATAAATAAATAATCAAAATATTCAATTAAAATCGCTACTGAATATAATTTATTAGAACATATGTGATTTGCACTTGTATGAAACTCAAACACGTATTCCGAATATACAAACTAGAAACATGTGGATAAATATTATAAATATGAATACCTATAACTGTTACTTTATTACAAAAAATAAAGATGTGGTTTTTGGTTCTACTACACCAATGGTCAAGAGATGGCGCTGTAGTCTCCTGAATCGCGCTTTGGTTCCGTTGTTCCAGATTAATAAATACTTTTGATAGGCCTTCACAATGCAGTCGTTAGCGCCCACTAAATAGAGATTCTATTTCTATTTTGTTGGTAGATTTTCTTAATGTGCGGTAAACACAAAAGTAACGCATGAAGTTGGTCGCTAAAGCGACCAACTTCATGCTGTTAAAATTTTGTGTTACAGTGATGCGCGCGCATCTTAAAATTTCACTCTCATCATTTTTTCATAACGCGCCTAAAGAAGTATAACTTCAAAAAAAACAGTAACAAACACTACTAATAAGCAAAGGCTTTTTGTCTGGAAAAACGTAAAATATTTACACGTTATAGCGAAGTGTAGCCGCGGCGAGAGAGTACGCCCGACTGAATGCCAGTCGGGCAATAGGGGTGATGACGGGGTTCAGTAAACGAAATTCTATTTAGTCCGTCAGTTAGATGATCAAAAAATAATGGACACGTATTTTTTCTTTGGGCAATCAACCAAAAAATGACAAAGTTATAGCGCGTCAAAGTTTGGGAGTAGGGGCTCGTGACGTCACTTTTGAGTGAATTTTCCCTTATAAGTGTACTCAAACGTGACGTCATGCGACTTTTCAAATCAATATATCTCTGCAATGTTTATATTATGTGAAAAAAAGAAAAAATACGTGTTCAATACTTTTCGATAATCTACCGGATAAACGTAGAAAAAAAAAATAGTCATCATCCCTATTACCTGACTTTGGTATTGCCAAATTAGAAGCTTAACTGTAACTTTAAAACATCAAACACTATAGCTATAGGTATATCTTTTAAACTACACAACGGAATTGAATATAGTGCCCCGAGCACTAAATATTAGTGAGAAAAATTCGTATCGGTTTGTCAGTGTCTATGGAAACTAGACAACCCTCACTGGAGGACGTAACAAATTAGCCAAACCAAACTTAGTTCTGAGTGCGTGACGACATCGGTTATACATGCTGTTACAAAAATACAAATAAATTTGAAGGGCGTTGAAGTCCATCATATAAGGAGTCTTCTCTAAAACTTCTCTAAATTCTCTAAAATTTAAAACTTCATGCAAATATTTTTAAAAAATTAGAGAAGACACCTTATATAATGTACTTCAACGCCCTTCAAGCTTTATTTGTATTTTTGTAACACCCTGTATAGCCAGGTAGGCAAATGTCTGTACCCCACCTGATGTTAAGTGGTGATAAAGTCCAAACGCGAAGATAGCTGGTACAGCAGTTATAAACTGCCACACCAACCATCCTCACCTTGCCGGCCTGCAAAAATGCTTCTGCACGCCTCTCTTAAAGGACCACAGATTGTCGATAAATAAATAAATAATGAATGAATGAATGAATGAATACTCTTTATTGCACTATTACAAAAAAAAACAATAAACATAAAACAGGAACGCAAACACAAAAGGCGGCCTTATTGCTAAGGTAGCAATCTCTACCAGGCAATCTTTGGCTAAATGAAACGATACCATAAGAATAGTAGAAACAGCGGGCTGTGCATTGTAAAAATAAATAAATAAACGTAAATATAGGAAAATAAAATATAGAAAGTATATAGAAGCTATAAAATACAATACAAAGTAATGAACATATAAAAAGATCAGTCAGAGTCCAGCTTGAGGAAATAATCCTTAATTTTAATAGTAAATAAGTACTCACGCAGCGCTGCGACAGCTCTACTAGCCGGTAATCTCCCGGCGCGGCTCAGAACGAACGCGTCGTCCAACATGAGAGCTCGTTCTGCGGGCCCGCCCGTTGAATATAATTCTGCGGCACGCTGAGCGGCAGTTTCCGCTGACTGCGACGGAAAATACAGTACCGTTTTTTTTTTTTATGTTATAGGGGGCATACGAGCAGACGGCTCGTATAAACATTCTTGTATTTTAGAAGCACTCGCATTAATTTTTCGAAATCTCAATTCAACTCTAAATCTAATTTACCTTTTAATAAGTTTAAAGTGTGTATAAAAACATGTCTCCTTAAGAAAGGTTACTATGCTGTTAAAGATTTCATAAACGATAAGTCGCCTTGGGCTTAAAATAGACTGTCGTTTTACTTTGCTAATTTGGTTGAAAATTGTTTAATCGCCACTTCTAAATTTAAAAATAGTAATTAATAATATTAATGTGATGGAAGTTGACATCAACACATGTTTTCAATTTTTGATGTCATCTTTCAATTGACGACACTGTATGAAACAAAACAGGGAGAAGAAATAGCCCTTGCTGGGTTTCTTGCCGGTTCTTCTCAGTACAAGGTCTCCCGCCGTAGATTTACGAACCGATGGCGTAGCGTTTGACTTTCACAAGAGCTTGTAACAGACTGAATAAATGAGTTTTAATTTGAACTAAAACTGGATATCATCATCATCAGCCTATTAATGTCCCCACGGCTGGGGCACAGGCCTTCCCTATGGATGGAATAGGGAGATTGGGCCGTGACCCACCACACGAGCCCAGCGCGGATTGTTCGGTACTGTCGACTGCAAATGCAGCCGGGACCCACGGCTTAACGTGCCTTCCGAAGTACGGAGGAGTTCGAGATACTAAATTTTTGGTCACCCATCCAATGACCGACCACTGCGAAAGTTGCTTAGCTTCGCTAACCACTTGCGCCATCGAGCTCCTCAACTAAAACTAGATATATCCCGTAGATTTTTTAAAACGTCGATGGTGTCTATTCTTACGTGGTTCTCTAAACTTAAAACTAAATTTAACATAAGTCTCTTTCATTTTCATTTTCATTTTGTATAGAGAATGACAAGAATACACTGTTGTCAAATTTAAGTTTAGGTTTAGATCGTGGCCGAGTGGTGTGAACCTCCCGGGTTCGAGTCCCGGTGGGGGCGGACGTTTGTGTGATGAATACGAGCATTTTTAATCCAGTCATGGATGTTTCATATGTATTTCTATATAAATATACTTATAATATATGGTATCAGTATATGTATTCTATCCGTTACCCTAGTATCCCATAACATAAGCCTTACAGTGCTTACTTTGGGGCTAGGCTAATAGGGTATTTGACAAGTTTTAGTGTTATTTGACATGTGTGTGTGCGCATCTGTGTTTAGAATGAATATTGGCAGGAGTTTTTACTATTTTTACAGAAAAAATATTCATAATTTTACTAAAAACCCACGAAAAAGATAATAGTTTTCTTATCTATTGCCACGTGACCCAAAACGCTTGGGATTGGCGGAGCCTAAAATGCCGTCACACGCAAGTTAACTTCCGGTTAAAGTGACATTACATTGTATCGTTTGACGTTTTAATAACAGTCGTGTGACGTCACACACTAGTAAGACGCCATATTGTCCAAAGAAACGTTTTCGCGGCAACTTGAAAATGGAGTTTTTGATTTGGTTATTTTTACTGATATACACAACAGAATGATGAATCCTTTTTATGGACTCCATAAACATTAGTCCATAACGTGAGATCGTTTTCTAAAACTTGTCAAATACCCTATTCTATATTTTTTAGATATCCAACGTAAGCTCACCTCTCCATTGCGGTCTTGTGGCGCTACCCGGTACAGACCCCGAGCTCCAACGTTATAACGAACCCATTTGTGTTTGCCGAGGTCTGGTATTACCACTAAAACAAATAAATGTACTCAGATTAATGATTTAATAACATAAATAAAACTAGTTTTAACGGGTTAATGCACGAAACTTTATTTATTTATTGACGTTTCGCAGTCTTTTCAGGTCTGCATCGTCAGAATAATCTTGTATTGAACAAAGGTAGCTCGACAAAATTAAATAAAAAATCATTATTCTGACGAAGCACACCTGAAAAGGCTGCGAAGCGTCAATAAATAAATAAAGTTACGTGCATTAACCCGTTAAAACTAGTTTTATTTAATGAATGATGTACGTGAAAACCTAAGAAACAAATATGATTTAATAAGATGTTCATGTTATTACGAAGAAATGCTGCGTGGAGTTACTTTCGCGATGGCCGGTTATCAAACGGGTGACCAAAAATGTATTAAACCAACCGTGCCACAACACAACACGACAGATAACTAAGTTTAGATTAACTATTTATTTTGTTTTAGGAAGGCCAAAGGGGAAGATCTTCCTCCGAGCTGGGTGATGGTAGCTCGGGGGCCGCGGCCCGACCGATGTTGGTCAGGCATCGTATTTAAGGAGTGTTTGGCTCCGAATTTCTCTTGCGCGATGTAGGCTTCCATACGTTGTGAACGCAGCGCCGGTAGTGCCATCTCTTGCGGAGGTGAGTGACTATTTCCTCCATTTTTTTTTTGAGTGTGTATGCTGTTGGTCGCAGATGACCTTAACAGCGTCACCGGGTTTGGGGACGGCGAGATCCTATCTCTATTCTTTTTGTTTTAATCTAAGGTAACCTAAGCTCATTTTTCGTTTATTAATACTTGTTTAATAAAGAGGTAAAATCTGTCTGAAAGAAATTGTTGTTAACTAAAGAGGTTAAAGTGTGTAAGTTTGGTTGCAGGAAACGGTGGACCCTGAAATTTCTACTCCGATTTTGATCATTCTTCAACTAGTAGAAAGCTGACCAAAGAAGATAATTATTCGTGGATGTAAAAAAAAACGCATTAAAATTAATTTTACCCGTACAAAGCTTGTCGTTAGTATGAAATAAAGAAACAGCATTGACTCACTCTGCGTATCATTCATCCACAGCAGATGGACCTGGTGTTCTGCCCACCGGGACTTCTTTGCGGGCTTCGTATCATTTACCAGATCGTACCTGCGGCCAAACATAAATGAATAAATATCAAATAATTATATTTTTATAAACCTTGATTTATAAATCTACTGAAATATCTTTAGAAAAGAATCGGTTTACTTAATTCATCCTGCCTGACACCTGGACCAAGTAGAATTATTTCTAGTAAAAATATCTTTAAATATCCAATAACTTCATATTAAATTAAATTATCAGTTTTGAGAGCTTACTATGAAAAAGTCATACGAAATTTACTGTACATTATTTATAATAAGGTTAAAAAACAATGCCCCAATGAGAGAACCCTGAGAAACACCTGATGGTGTCGGTAGGAAACTGGGCTTTTAGCCCTTAAAAGCGACTAACTATGTTCGCTTTCCAAGATTGGACTGCAGCCGCGCAGTACGTCCCCTTGTATGGTTTTCTCAAGCTTTTTTGATTCTTTAACATTTTGGTAACATTGTTTTAAACTTTCATGGACACTAACATTAAAGTAATTTATGTTCTTTATGGTATTGTTACTTTATTCCAATATTTAGTCACTATTGCAAGCGCCATGGGCACGGAGTAACCCAGTTACTCCGTGATCATGGCAAAAACAAGGTACATGGTAACAATCCCGTAAATAACATATATTATTACATATTTTGGTGATATTTTCCATTTTCTTTTTCTTTTCTTTCTTTTCATCATTATCGTCTTGCGGTCTCGCTATGAAGGTGAGGATATTACCTACATGTGGGCCAATTGTTATTCCGGTGTGACAACCAGTGCCGTCTATGATCTATTGGAGGCCCTGGGCATATTAGGATAATCATCACCAAACGGGGGTTTTAGGCCCGCCCCTAAGACCCCCGTTTGGTGATCTAACAGGAACTAGGGACTTTGTATTTGTGATCTGAGGTGGGCCCCTATCGATCGCGGGGCCCTGGGCACTTGCCCAAAATGCCTCTGGGAAAGACCGGTCTGGTGACAACAAAAGAAGAACTTTAGTCAATTATGGCCTTTTCTCTGGCCCATATTGATAGACTGAACTAAAATATTGCAGGCGGCTAATCTAACCTTTCATATAGATTTCGGCTCAGATTACAGAACAAAAGACAGATGGAGCGCTCCAACAACGATATTAAATACTACATACTACTACTAGATACATAACGTGCGCTCAAAATGTGTCACAAACAAGAAGTGCTTGAACTCTATCTGGTATGGCGTGTAAATAGCCATCCACTGGAATGCGGGTTTTTATATGTATTTTATATGTATGAACCAAGTGGAAATTGAATCCGCGCAATGTCACCAACGACTCACCTGGATGTCTCTATGCCAGGAGGCAGAGAGATAAGGATATCGGGCTTGCTGGCGTGAGCACAGCCGATGCAGCTCCTTCTTTCTTCCTCTGGGTGCGGTTGGAATCTTCTACGCGATTTTCGAGATAATTACTCGCTGCGTTTTACTTTATTTGCGTACGACCTATCCGCACGGAATCTAACACAGCAGAGCGCGGCCGTTGGAAAAATGACGAGCCAACGACCGTTATTAAGTTCGCGTACCCGCGCATAACAATATTCGCAGTACCCACCCACATATCTGCCATCTGGACAGGTTCGCAGATCGAACACTAGGCGGCGTCAGCGAGCATATTGCAAATTCAAAAGCCAAATGCGAACATTGTTGATGTAAAAAATTCACACATAATAAAACGCCCAACCACTATCCAAGCACTTCTTGGTTCACAGTCACGCGCGGACTGTTAATAAGTCAATGTAGGAAGGCCAAAGGAGAAGATCTTCCTCCGAGCTGATGATGGCAAATGATTGAAGATCCTTAAGCTATAACTTACCAAGTCCCATTCTGCATGCTCTCCGTCACATTCTTGAACAACTTCGTTACATTCTCCATCTCCTCATCTTCATCTTCCACCGGCCCCACCATGAAAGTCAGGGGTATGACCCATTTGTGGGCGGGCGGGGGTTTGGTGGTGGGCGGGCGGCGTGTTGTTGTGGTGGGGGGCGGGGGGGTGGTCGTGGCGTTGACGTCATCGTATGGGTCGGTTATATTCTCTGGAAGAGAGGTAGAATTATGAAAATGTATATTGAAAAAAGCGTGTGCGTCTCGAAAAGTTAAAATAATCTAAACGGCGCTGCGAGTGAGAGAGGAGCCTGCCTACCGCTGCCGAGTGCGTGAGATGAAGGGAAGCCAGACTGGCACCGTAACGCGTTACGTAACGAAGCAATTTACGCTCCCATAAGAAGTTATCACTTCAAAAAATGTACACAATTTATTTATTATCATCAGCTTATTAATTACTCCAGTTTTGGGGCACAAAACTTCCCTATAGATGGAATAGGGAGACTGGGCCCATGATCCACCACGTGGGCCCAGTGGTGGTGATAAAGACTGCAATGCAGTCATGACCAATGGATTAACATGTCTTTCGAAGCACTGAGGTGCTCGAAATAGTAAATTTTTGGTCACACATCCAATGACCGACAGCTGCGAAAGTTGCTTAACTTAACGATCGCAGCCGAACACGCTAACTATTTGCGCCATCGAGCTCCAAAATTAATTTATAGCGTTTCTCAATGTCCTTAAAGGTAAATTGCCTATGTAATTCAACCAATAGCTGAGGTCCAAATCAATTATAAAATTAAGTTACCCGGTTCGTAGAAAAGTTCATCCAAATCAAATCTAAGGTCTGCAGTGAGTAACAGATTTTCCGCCATCTCCCGGTCCATTGTTGGCGGGTCGGCAGTCATGACAAATCTGAAAAGAAAGAGAGAAAATCTCACATACAAAGAGGTAAGTGTCGCCGCATACGGGCCACACGCCACAGCCACAAACGCCGCCACGAGAAGCTAGAAGCGGCTACTAAAGTGGCTGAAGCGCGCGACAGCGGCCAACTAAAGTAAGGGAGAGAGGGGTGGGGAATCGCGCGAGTGACGTGTGGCGGCGTTTTGTATCGGCGCATTAAGTGGCCGGTGTGGGCCACAAGAAGCGAGCAACGACGATTTGTAGCGTGTGGCGGCCACCGGCGTACCGTGTGTGGCGAATCCATATACAATGTATGAAAACTACGAGAAATATGCCGGTGGCGGCGTTTAGTGGTTGTGATCGGTGGCTCGTGTGCAGCGACACTAAGATACGGCACTCGCGGCTCAAAAGTGATCCGCTTAAATTGTGGTGCATGACCACAATACGCTTTAGTCACAATAATTGGACATTTAAACACGCTGCATGTGCAAAATAAAAATAAAACAATGCCTTCTGGTTCAAGATCAAAGGAGATTGCTCAAATTGGCCTAAATGCACAAAAAATATTGACATACACGGTAATTCTTGGCGTAATTTATAATTTGATTTACAGTCATTAGATTTCAACGGACACCTTTGTATAATATATTTACTTTAAAAAGGACTTTTAATTTTACCGGTTTAGAAAACATACGAATATTTTTTATTGGCTATGGGCACGGTAATTATGGGTGTAGTAACATTCAGCTAAAGACTGATCGAAGTTGTTTATATAACATAAAAACAAATATATCTTGTAAAGATCGATAAAATAAATGATTTTTTTTATTACACTGTGGTAATATCCACAACTATATTATCATTTTCACTAGATGTAACTGTGCTCAGACAATTATTATAGATGGTAGGCGACATCATAAAGTCTATTGCCATACATTTTTCGCCAAACACCTCCATAAACACATTGTAATCTGTATATATGTTAGACTTTAAGGTATCTATCTATGGGCCTACGTTCCTTGACTATAAATTAATAAATAAATAAAATTATAAGGTGTGATACACTAAAAATCTAAAATAGGTTATCTTAAAAACATAACTGTTGTGGACTGTATGATGATTTTTGATTGAAACTCGATTTTTTCTTCCTTTGTAGTTTATTTTCTTCTTATTTATTACAATTTTTGCTGTTCTGGATCGCATGAAAAAATACGCTGTCCTCGTCTCGCGCGTCGCCGGCGCCGGAGGCGCCGCGGCGTGCGGGGAGACTGTTCTGGGCCGGATGGCCCACTTCAGTGGTATCGGTGTCGCGCTCCGTCATCGGGACGGAGCGGTCATCGGGGTCCATCCTCCTCACTCTTCACGCACCGCCCTCGGCGCGGTACTAGCCCACCGGGTGAGACCCTTGGGGGAGGCCCAGTGAGCGACCAGCGAGCGGGCGGCGGACTTGTGTGAGGGAGGATAGGACGTCGTTGTAGGTTAGTAGGTAGGTCTTGGTTAATTAGTAGTCAAAGTGGGTGGCCCGCTCATAACATATTTACACCCTTTTTTTTTTTTTCTTTTTTTATATGTTTTTTTTTTTATATATGTTTTTTTTTATATATATGGCATGAAAAAATGACAAAATGACCCTACTTATATCTAAGATTATGAGTACGTAGTTAGCGCTAAGTCAGAGCGGTAGTTGACCTATCCCGTGCGTTTCCCCCCGCGCCCCGCCGTAGTTGCGTCGTCGGTTGCTCGCAGTTCGCGCTAGGTCGGAACGGTAGTCGGCCAGTCGTGTGAGCCTCTTCTGAGCTGTAGTCGCGTCGTCCTTGACAACTCTCCCCCCGGCGCAGACTCGTCGTAGCCTTCTTTGATGCGAGGACGACGATCTTGGTGGTGGGGCGTCGCAGCACTCCTCCTCTGGTGCGGACGTCGGCGCAGCGTACTCGTCCATCGGGTCCGGGGCAGGATCGGCGATGATGACTAGGTCCCCCGTGTGCAGCTGGTCTTCTCCTGGAGTGGCGGCGGCTTGGCGGGGCGCGAGTGTAGGCAGGTACTCGCGCACCCACCGGGTCCAGAAGGCGTCGGCGAGTGCCTGGCTGGCGCGCCAGACGCGGCGTTCGGCCGGGTCGCAAGGCCCGGTGTGCGGTAGGCCTGCTGAACTCCCCAGCAGGAAGTGGTTCGGCGTGAGTGCCTCCGGATCGCTAGGATCGACGGAGACGTGTGTGAGAGGCCGCGAGTTTATGGTATACTCGGCCTCTGTCAGCAGCGTTTGGAGCACCTCTTCCTTTGGCGCTCGTTCGTGGAGCACGGCGGCGAGTGCAGTCTTGACGGAGCGCACCAGTCGCTCCCAGGCTCCCCCCATGTTCGGCGCCCCTGGTGGGATGAAGCGCCATGTCATGCGGTGCTGTTGTCCCAGGTCTTCCAAAGCGGGCTTCCATTCCTCGTAGGCGGCACGGAGTTCGACGTCGGATCCCCTGAAGTTGGTCGCGTTGTCGCTCATCATTTCTCGCGGCCATCCTCGTCGGGCTGCCATCCGACGCAGGGCTAGGAGTGCAGAGTCCGTCGACAGGGATGCCACCAGCTCGATATGCACGGCGCGAGGCGTCATGCAGGTAAAAAGGGCCCCCCATCTCTTCTCGTGTCTTCTTCCGATTTTCACCATCATCGGCCCGAAATAGTCGACGCCGCAATAGGTGAACGGCCGATGAAACGCGTCGACTCGTGCTCGTGGTAGATCGCCGAAAATTGGTGTTTGCGGCCTTGTTTTCCTTAGTTTGCACCATTCACATTCTCTTGCGACGGCGCGTACGGCGGCTCGTAGACTTAGAATCCAGAAACGTTGGCGTAGGTTGTTCACCACGGTTTCTCGATTGCCGTGGTGCGCTGCGTGGTGTTCCCTCTTGATCAACAGGCGAGTGTAGGGATGCCTTCCGTCCAATATCGTGGGCTCCTTGGTTTCGATGGGGACATCGGCGGCGCGGATGCGCCCGTTCACGTGCAGCGTGCCGTTCTTCAGGATGGGGTCCAGTTTGTACAGACGACTGGACTTGGGGATTGCTCTTCCTTCTTGCAGGACCTTGACTTCTGCCCCGAAGCTGTCTGCTTGTGCCCGTTGAATCCACATCTTCTCGGCTTCTTCTAAATGTCGGACTTGCAGTCTCTCCTTGCTGCCCCGGCACCGCTCTATGAAGAGTAGGACGCGGGCGGTTGCTCTGGTGAGCCTCTCGTGTGATGAGAAGCGCGTGATGTCCGGCAGGCTTGACTCTTGCTGCTCCGTAGTGTGTCCCACAACCTCGCTGTCATCTTCTTCTATGGCGTTCTCTTCTACGGGCCAAAGGTGTTCCGGTTCTTTCAGGAAGGCTGGGCCGGTGAACCATCTGTCGCTTGCGGTGAGGGGACGGCGTGATGCTCTTGTTGCGTCGTCAGCTACGTTGTGCACGATCCAGCGCCAGTCTTCGGGTCTGGTGCGTTCTGCCAACTCCCCAAGGCGGTGCGCGACGAAGGGCGTGTAGCGTCGTGCGTTGCGACGTATCCAGTGGAGGACGGTGCGGCTGTCACTCCAGTAGACGGTGCGACTGGGCTCTTCCTTGTGCTCAGTGACGATGGCTTCGGCGAGGCGCGCGCCGATGACCGCTGCTTGCAGCTCCAGTCGTGGAATGCTCTGTGTCTTGATGGGGGCCACCTTTGATTTGGCAGCGGCGAGGGTGATGCTGATGCTGCCGTCGTCCCTTGTCATCCTCCAGTACGCGGCGGCGGCGTATGCTTGTTCTCTCGCGTCGCAGAACACGTGCAGTTCGCGGCGCGCGGCCGGCCCATACCAGCGTGGCAGGCGTAGCTAAGCAACCTCCTCACGTAGGGTCTGCAGCCACCGGGTGAAGTCTTCTGCTTCGGCGTCAGGCAGCTGCTCATCCCACCCCAGCTACTGCTTCCATAAGCCTTGCAGCACGATCTTGGCTCGTATCGTGAACTGGCTCAACAGTCCCAACGGGTCGTATAGGGACATGACGGCGCCCAGGGCTTCTCGTTTCGTCGGCGTCCGCTGGTGCTCGATGACCTCCTTCGGGACTCGGTGCAGTGTGGTGTTGAAGGCCAGCTGGTCTCGCTCGGCGTCCCATAGCAGGCCGAGCGTCTTGTCTGGTGCTGGTGCCAGTTGAGTGGGGTTTCTCGTTCTGAGCTCCTCTTCTATGTCTTCTAAAGTCGTCCTTTTGTTGGAGTTCCACCCTCGTAGCCTGAAGCCTGCTTGCGCGTGAACGAAGGCCACTTCATTAACCGTCTTCTTTGCAGTGGCGATGTCGCTGAAGGATTCCACGAGGTCGTCCATGTAGTGGTTCCGGGTGATGGAGTTGAACGCGGCGGGATGGGTGGCCGCGAAGTCTTCCGCGTTCCGGTTCCTCACGCTGTGGGCCAGGAAGGGTGAGCTGGATGCGCCGAAGATCAGGGCCGTCATCTTGTACTTTTGCGGTGGTTGATCTTGCTTTTCTCTCCACAGGAACATTTGGGCCGGCTGGTCTTCCTTTCTTATCGCAATGCGCAGGAACATTTCCTGTATGTCAGCGGTCACTGCCACTGGGCCCTCTCTGAACCGGAACATGATCCCCTGCAGTGACTGTAGCAGGTCCGGTCCCTCCAGCAGTAGGTCGTTCAGGCAGACTCCGTGTGACTTGGTGGCGGCGTCGAAGACCAGGCGCAATTTCTCCGGTTTGTTTGGGTTGAAAACCGGAAAGTGCGGCAAGTACCACTTCCGCGGGCTCTCTTCCTCGGTGCCGTCGCATGGCTGTGCGTAGCCCTTCTGCAGTAGCGCCTCGACTTCTTGTTTGTATCGCGACGCAAAGTGGGGTTCTCGTTCACACCTCCTCTCGACGTTCTTTAGTCTTCGCAGAGCGGCGTTGTAGCTGGGCGGCGTGGTGACTTCTTCCTTACGCCAAGGTAGTCCTACTTCGAAGCGTCTGCCGATTCGCCTGGCCGTTGCGTTGAAGACTTGGATGGCGCGTTGGTCCGTGTCTTCGGTCTTCTCTTTCAGGGAT